ACGTAAGTAAGAAAAAGTGAAATTTGATATAAATCATGCTTTCCAATATTAATCGCCAATACTGAAAATCCGAAGTATACGTGTAACATTAACAGATTTTCAGTATAGATAATGAATATCGGAACACAGATTCATACTTAACCTACTTTTATGTTTAAAATGTTTAATTAGATGTAAATAATAATTTATACTGTTTTTGTATTATGTTGCAGTGTTGCGTTGCGTTCCATTAGTGGAAGTTCACGCAGAGCAGCACTAAGCAGTTTGATTTCTATCACACTTTTCTGAACGAAAGCTTTATTTATTCGATACATAAGTAAGAAAAAGTTAAACTTGGTATAAATTGCGTTCCAATATTAATATTCAGTACTGATAATCTAAAATGTATGTATAACATTAACCATAGATTTTCAGTATAGACAGTGAATATCGGAACACAGTCATACTTAACCCCGTATTCTTATGTTTAAATATATAATTATGTATGAAATAAACAGGGCACACGAAATATTGTGTGCTAATCATCTCCGCTATAATTATCTCAGAAAGTATTGATTTATTGGAAAAATGTTTCAGATAAAAGTTGGAGAGTTCAAGAAGGACCAATAGACAATTTTATTAGATTTTGAGTCCGGGACCTGTGTTAAGCCCAGTAGCATCTAAGCCATATTATTTAAATAGAAATTCCCTTTTTATTGCATCATCTTTTTCTACTAATTAATATGAACAACTTTTGTCTGAAACATTTTTTTATTTGCCTTATATTTTTTTAGACATTCAAGGAAAACTTGGTAATTCTTTCAATATTTAGCTTACAATATCTCAATAAATGTTTGTCGAAGGAAAAAGTGGTACAGGACTTTTTGACTTGATTTAGTATCAAGTATATACTGTTGCAATAGTATTCCAAGTTCTTTAAATAATTGTGTACACATGAAAGCTCCAAGAAAATGTATACACAAATATTTAAAGAAATTGGAATATTATTGCAATAGCATATTCTTGAGACCATATCAAGTAAAAAAGTCTTGTATTATTTTTCCCTTCGACAAACATTTATCAAGATATTATAAGCTAAATATTAAAAAAAATTACCAAATTTTTCTACAATATCTCAAAAAGTATAAAGAAAAAAATATAAAAAATGTTTCAGACAAAAGTTGTTTATATTAATTAGTAGAAGTAGATAATATAATAAAAAATGGGAGTTTTTATTTAAAAACTTGGACCCTACTGGACTCAATATGGGTCCCCGACCCTAAATCTAATAAGATCATCCATTATTTCTCTTTCAACTTTTATCTGAAATATTTTTCCAATAAACCATTACTTTCTGAGATAATTAACGGAGATAATTGGCACACAAAATAAAACTCACCCTGTGTAATCAGATATAAATAATAATTACAGTTTTTGTATTATGTTATAGTGTTACATCACTCTTTATCAGTGGAAATTCATACAATGCAGAGTAGCATAGAGCAGTTTTGAAGAAGAAAGAGATAGAAAGATAATATCAATATTATTTTCTTAATATTGTATGTAATAAGAGTATTAAAAATAACAATTTGATATAATTTAATAAAATTCATTAAAATGGTTTAATTTCTAGCAATATTAAATAAATATTATCTAATATCACACAAATATTACGTAAATATCACGCAAATATTACAGTAATATTACCGTAATATTACTGTGATTCATTTTTGCGGACATTTTAATATTACTGACAATGAGATATCTTAGTAATATTACTGCAATATTTATACTATATTTCATTGTAATAATGCAATGGAAAAATGATATTGCTGTAATATTACTAAAATATTATTTGCTATGTGAGATATAATTATATATAACAATATATATGGGACGTTTTACGTCAACCAGATCACTTGTCTTCCCAAAATTTGAAGCGACCTACAAAGACGTTCGATAGCTCAAAAAATTAGTTTTTACTAGTACTTTCGAAAGTCATGTGTCTCGTTTTGAAATCCAAGATGGCTGATCCAATATGGCGGCTAAAAGCCTGAAAATTGGAGAAAAATCTACATAATTTAACGTAATCATGTTTTTAAATATTGATTCGGTTTTGAAATGGTTTGGTAAGGAGTTTTCAGTGTCTGTGATGTTGAATCTGAGAGCTAGTTGAAGTTTGGAACGTTCCTGGAGCGATTGAAGTTTGGAACGTTCCTGGATTTTTTAAAAATGATTTGTCCCATTTCTCCTTTGGCACAGAGACATTTCTGAGTGATAAATACGAAATACATAAGAGACCGAACCGATACACCCTGCGGAAGACACCCTTATACTAAAAAAACCTACCCCCGGACCACTTTAAATATTCTGGTTACGCTGAAAACGATTTGTCCCATTTCTTTTTTGGCACAGAGCAACTACTAAATGCCACACACAAAATACATAAGAGACCAAACCGGTACACCCTGCGGAAGACACCCTTATACTCAAAAAACCTACCCCCGGACCACTTTAAATATTCTGGCTACGCTGAAAACGATTTGTCTCATTGCTTTTGTGCGGAGAAAACTGGGCTCCGTTTTTCGGAAAGAGACGTTAAGCCGTTGATTCAAAGGGTTAAAGTGAGAGGAGAAGGATATAGTATTGGTAGTAGGTTGCAAACTCTACGGGGATATGCAATAAATTATGAATTTTACAGAAAATTTATAAGTTGCTTTGTGCCAAAGAAGAAATGGGACAAATCGTTTTCAGCGTAGCCAGAATATTTAAAGTGGTCCGGGGGTAGGTTTTTTTAGTATAAGGGTGTCTTTTGCAGGGTGTATCGGTTCGGTCTCTTATGTATTTCGTATTTTTTACTCAGAAATGTCTCTGTGCCAAAGGAGAAATGGGACAAATCATTTTTAAAAAATCCAGGAACGTTCCAAACTTCAACTAGCTTCCAGATTCAACATCACAGACACTGAAAACTCTTTACCAAACCATTTCAAAACGGAATCAATATTTAAAAACATGATTACGTTAAATTATGTAAATTTTTCTCCAATTTTCAGGCTTTTAGCCGCCATATTGGATCAGACATCTTGGATTTTAAAACGGGACACATGACTTTCGAAAGTACTAGTAAAGACTAATTTTTTGAGCTATCGAACGTCTTTGTAGGTCGCTTCAAATTTTGGACAGACAAGTGATCCGGTTGACGTGAAACGTCCCATATACACTACACTTTTAAATTTGGATTATCCGATAGATGGCATCCGATAGGATTTGTTTCTCGTATTTAAAATTTGACGAACAGTGGTATAAGAACAGTATCAAAAGACACGGCAGTGTCTCACGCCAAGCAGCGCCAAGTTATAATATATGGGATAAATTATTTCACTTTTGATTCCATAGCTTTTAAAGAAATATACACTTAATTTATCAATGCTTTATTATCGAAGTTAAACGGTTTTTTTTCAAAATATATTGACTATATATGATCAAATATAATTATATATAATTATATATATTTATATATAATCATATAGAGACAAAATTTATAATTGCATCATATATAATTATATATATTTATATATAATTATATATAATTTTTTTTCCCGAGACCCTGTATAATTATAGAAAACTGATTGATGTGAGTCTGATTATTACTGAGAGAAGGTGATGTTGAAATTAATGATTGATAATCATTTTTTTTTTCAATTCGGCATTTTGTTATACGTTTGGCCGATGGTTCAAAATCAGTCACACCACTGCCACCACAGTCACCTTGACAATTATATCAACAAATAACCTTTCTCTCTTTTTTCTTGTGCTAATCGTCTGTTATGCCTCGAAAAAATATCACGGTTACCTTTTCCATAATATTGTAAAAATTATATATTATTATTATGTACCTAACCTATAAAAATAACACAATCAAATACGCATTAATTGTACAACAATTACATACAATTGTATAATATGGAAATTCAATAAATCTATTACGAAATGAGAATTTACCTTTGACTCACTATTTAATTTAAATTATTTTTTACTATATAATTTAAATGTGTTTATTGTCCTACGCTCAGGTAACTGCGATTATAGAAACGTGACCAAAAAACTGTCCGTTTAATAATTTCTTGAAGTTACTACTGGGCGCTACTATGGTACGCCATATTATTACATTTTGTTAAATATGTATCAACTACGTGTTTGATACATTCATACATTATACAATATAATATGCGTAGTATACTTGCTATGTAGGGGAAAGTAGGGGAATACAACGCAGTAGGTAATAGTGCGCACCTCAAGTTTGAGACTGTGACGATAGTTGACGAAACGTATATAAGTGGCAAAATTTCAAAGCTTACGTCAATTCTAAATAATATATATACATTTTATCCCAGCTCAAAGCTTCGTTTGAACGGAGGAAGCAAAAAAGAAAATGCACCCGTTTTCTTACCATTTTGAAGCAACAGGAGTTAAGCTCGTAAGTGGGCAATTTTTATATACTACTGTAATTACAATTGATCCCTGACGTGAAATACAATCCCTTGGGAATCTTTTGCCCCGTTGGTCCTATAATTTTATTTGCGGTTCGCAAGTAATTGACAAAATTGTTCCGGAATAACAACTCGGGGAATAATGCGCGGCTTTATTTGTATCGATTTTATATATATATAGCTTAATAGGATTTCCGGGATTGAGCAAGTAGAAAGAAGCACGCCTGTCAAACGCGCCAGTGTTTTTTCGAGCTTATCTACCGTTCCTTCGCCGTGGGGTGACTTTGTTTCAGGTGGTTTGCATGCACAAATATGCAGGACTAACTGCAGATATAAATCGGCAGTGTAAAAGCCGAATTACAGACGAGTTCGGGGATTCTGTGTTGCTGCGACAATTTGGAGGTTACGTGATAAAAGCGGAAGCAGGCACGGAGAAACCGGTGTCGGAGAATCACGAAAGCAGGTCGATAAAGAAGAGAGTGACAGGAGGAAAGAAGTGCTGAAGAGATAAAAAGCGGGAAAAGGATTTAGATGGACGAGAAAAGGGAGGAAAGCAAGGAAAAAGATATTAACTTGAAGAAAGACGAGAAGGAGAAGAGTACGACAGAAAAAAGTAGAATTACAGGAGGCAGGCCCACGAGGGCGGATGAGCTGTCAAAAATAAGAGATAGGACAGGAAGTCAAGGATCAATTACAGATTACGTAAGGAAAAGAGGAAAGGACGAAGAAAAAAAAATAGCAGAAAAAGCCGAAAAAGAAATACTGGCAAATTTTAGTAAAGAAAAAAGAGTGACAAGATTGCCGCCAAACAAGATAAAAAGAGAGGAAAAGAAAAAAGAAGGCATGGAGACGGAGAAAATGCTGAAAGATATTTTAGCGAAAATGGATGTACAAGAAAGAGAAAGAAAGAAGGATAAAGAAGAGATAATGAAAGAGATAATGAAAGAGATACACGAACTGAGGGAGGATTATAGAATGAGAGAAATGCTTTGGGGAGAGCAAAAAGCGAGTTTAGAAAATAGAATAAAACAGTTGGAGGAGAAAGTAGAAAAAATGGAGAATAGCGAAGGTGAAAAGCTAGTGAGCAGTGAACTAATGAAAAAGATGAAGGAGATGGAAAGAAACTCTGAATTAGCCGAAAGGAGGAAAAGGAAAAATAATATAATTATAAAAGGAATGAAAGTAGAAAATGGAGGTGAAAGAAAAGAGAAGATGATTCCTTGAAGAAGAAATCACCAAAAAGAAGGTGGAAGTGGACGAAGTGCAGGTAATTGGCCGGGGAGAATACAAAATGACGCTAGTCAGATTCAATAGATGGGAGGATAAACAAGAAATAATGGCAAAGAAGAAAAAGATAGAAAAAGCAAGAAAGATATTTATGGATGATGATCTGACGGCAACAGAAAGGCAGATACAAAAGCATCTGGGAGCATAGTTAAAGCAGAGAGAGAAAAGGGGAAGAAAGCAACGGTAGAATACTAAAAAATATGGATTGACAATTGCGAATGGAAATGGAATGAAAGCACCGAAATGCTAGAAAGCAGAGATGTTTTTCCGAAAGAGTAGAGAGGAGAGAGGACAGGGAGGGGGAGATAAGGAGAGTGAAAGAAAAGGGAAAAAAGGAAAATAAGGAGAAAAAAGGAAGAGGATTAAGGATATGCTTTTGGAACGTGGCGGGACTAATTAATAAATGTCACGAAACATGGGATTATTTGGAGAATTTTGACGTGATAAGACTAGTAGAAACATGGATGGAGGATGATAAATGGAGGAAGATTAAAAATAAATTGTTCAGCAAATTTATCTAGAATTGCGTACCAGCGAAAAGGGAACACAGGAAAGGAAGAGCAGAGGAAGGATAATAACAGCAGTCAACAAGAATTTGAAATTTATAGAGGTTAGGGAGATTAGCGACGAGGTGGTAGAAAGCAGATTAGAGTATAATGGAAACAAATGGAGAATAATCACGTTGTACAGTCAGAAAATGAAAGATACAATGGAAACACTAAGGGAGAAGGTACAAGAAGAAGATGAAGAAGGGGTGCTAGTAAAAGGTGATTTCAACGCGAGGACGGGAAGCAAAGGAGGACCGATAAACGAGGAGGAAGAGAATGAAAAGAGGAGCGAGACCAGAAAGTTAGTAAATAAAGTGGTAAATAGGGAGGGACGTATATTAATAGATAAAATAAAAGAAAGAGGATGGGCGATATTAAATGGGAGTTTCGAAAGGAAAGGGGGATGGACTTATATAGGAGACTTGGGATCATCGGTTATAGACTATGTCTTAGGGAATGATAGAGCAGGAAAGAAATAAATATGGTGGAAGAAGAAATTAGAACGGAATCGGATCATGTTCCGCTGGAGGTGGAGTTGACAGGACCACGAGTGATGGAGACAGGGAGAAGGAAGAAAGAAATAGAAATAGAGAGAAGCAACTGGACAGAAGATGGGAGGAGAGAATATCATGAGAAATGTGAAGGATGGTCGAGTACACAAATAAAGACAGAGGATATCTGGAAGAAGATGAAAGAAAAAGTAAAGAGCGCTATCACGAAGCGGAAGAAAAGAATAATACTATGAAGATTAGGAAGAAAAGAATGGTATAATAAAGAATGGAAGGAAAAGAAAAAAAGATTGAGGAGATTGTTGAGGAACTGGAAGAGGGGAGGATCGGAAAAGAAGAGTATGTGAGGGAAAAAAAGGAGCACAAGAAATGGTGTAAGGAGCAGAAGGGGAGGCACGAAAGCGAGGAAGAAGAAAAGATAAGGAACATTAAAAACGAAGCGGAAGCTTGGAAGTATATAAATAAATACAAGAAAAAGAAAGCTGAGGGGATAAGCGAGGAGATGCATATGGACGAGTGAGGAGCAGCTGAGGAGAGACCACTTTATGGAAATGCTAGGAGGGACAGAGGAAAAAGTGGTGCTAGACATAGAAGACGAAGGAGAAGAAGATGGCACGAGAGTGGAGGTAACAAAGAGTAATTGAAGAAATATCGAGGGAAAAGGTAATTGAAGTAATAAAGTACATAGTATCAGAAGAAGCCAAAATAAAGAAGATAAAAATGAGGGCAATAAGGAGAGCTGTGAGATATGAGGAGAAGGCGAGACAGTCAGAGAAGAAAATAGTTCAAGCATGTATAAAGGATCTAGAGAGGAGCACACCAAGGAAAGAAGAAAGTAATTGGGAAAAGAAAAGAAGAGAACTGATAGAGAGAGTAGGAATGGAGAAGGAGCAGCTGAGGAAAGAAATGGAGGCAGGGAACCGGGAGGCGGCGAAGAGTCTCGTAAAGAGATTAGAAGAAAAAGAGAAGGAGAGACAGATAAAGATAAACGAGTCAAGATACATAACTATAAAGAGATTTTAACACAGGAGTTACCAAAGTATTTACTAGAAAAGAAGAAGAAAAAGGATAGAATGTTGATAGCCAGGTACAAGAAAAAATACTCAAATATAGGGTTTTGAAAAGCTCTTTAGGTAAGCTACAAGAATATGCAATGAAAAATAGGGAGTTCCATTTAAAAAAACAAAGTTGAACTCCATATGACCTCGGGACGTTCACTCAAGGTCAAACCAATGACACCATCTTATGTCCCTCTTCGAACCAAACAACTTTTGTCTGAAATGTTTTTCCGTATCTTTCATATTTTTCGAGATATTTGCCTGGGGCGATTAAAATAAAACACCCGGTATAATATTATATGTATAAGTACGGAAATTTTGCTTTTTATATACAATGCTACATGAAATTATATATAATCATATAGGGTTATACATTTATACTTCCGTATGAATCTTATATGTATCCATACATGAATGCATACATCTATTGTTCATATTTAATTATATTTAGAATTATTCTCATATACATATAATTATATATGGACCTATATAGGTAGGTAAATTATATTTAGACAACTATATATATATATATATATATGAAAAAGTTTTATGTTTAATTGCCTGTGAATAATTGCCTAGTTGTCTAAATGATGTGTAGGAGATGATTTTTATTGATTAGTTATGATCCTTATGGGGTTGAGTTTAATTGAAATATATTCTGAAAAAATTTCACGGCCCGTGAACTCTATTTAAATTTTTTTACTCTATTTGTTTTAGAATAATTGTCAATTTGTCGAAATGATGATTCAGGGGTGGTTTTTAAGGGTTTATTTTGATTATAAGGGGGGGGGGTAACGTCTAAAAAACTATTTAATTGGATGTCATAAACCATTTTGTTTCAAAGTTACATCAAATTTGATAGAAACTGCTAAGATTTTATATGTTATTTGCATACTTTTCTAATTTTTAGGGTGGTTTGAGCGATATTTTGGTCATACTGCCCCACCTTTGAATGTAAATGAAAATCGCCATAAGGCATCCAAAACTTGAGTTTTCGACGGAAATTTTGAGATCTTGCAAAGCATTTTATCTTCAAAAATAAAATGTGCAGAGAGGTGGCTATTTTGAGAAAGAATGCCCCATATATATATATATATATATATATATATATATATATATATTATATATATGATTATATATAATTATATATAATCTATTTTTCCCGGGGTGTTTTTAAAGTAAGTGGACAAACTTGAAAGGGATATTCCTTGACTTATTTTAAGAAGAAAAGGTCCTATAAATATATGTCCTAAACTGCTTCGTTTTCAAAATATAAGGTGTCCAAGATGCACGCTCCTGGTGGGACACATAAGATGGTGTCATTAGTTTGACCTTGGATAAATGTTTGAAGATCACGTAAAGGTCACCTTCAATTTCTTAAATGAAAACCCCTATTTTTCAATGCATATTTTTGTAGCTAATCTCGAGAGCTTTTCAAAACACTATAATAAAGTATTTGTGAGCGAGCGTGGCATAGCAGACAGCGCACTCATCTGCTAAACCAAAGATCTCAGGTTCGAATCCAGTCCTGGTAAAACCAAAATAAATAAATTATATCGCTTGTTTTTCCTCCTCGACGGAATGACAGCCCGTCAGGAGTATCTCTTGCCTCGAAACCCCTTCTACCTTGCCGTTCGGATTCGGCATTAAACTTGTAGCTCTCATGTGCTTGTGTACAACCTGTGTGCGCACCACAAGCACATGACTTTGGGGGAAGCTTAGGTCCGACTCGAACTGTTGTACCATTGAAATGAATAATAAAGTATTTTTTCATTAAGAACTTTTGGAATTATTAGGCTTGAAAGTTCTAGTATTTTGACATAATTACAAAATATCTTGTAAAACATTAAGTTTTCGGTAATATTATCTTAATACTTTTACGCACAGAATAATGAGACGAATCAATTGGTATGAAAAAAAGACATAGTTGCTTTTAAGAAAAAGTATGCAGATGCATATTGCAAATTACATATTTTTTCTTAAAGAAACTATGTCTTTTTTTATACCAATTGATTCGTCTTATAGAGCTAACTGCTCTGGTTTTCGAGATATACAGAGTTAAAGTTGGTAAAACTTTAGATTAAGAGCGATCTCACTGATTTCAATGACCTTGATATATGTTATCGATATGAAACAAGGTGCCACATGGGTTTACAACTTTTCACGCGTGGAAAGCCGACGCATGTACTTTGAAGGCACACTGTGTGTCTAGTTTAACAATACCCAGATAGCCAAGCGTGATATAGCATATTGAGCAAACTAATGTATTGCATGTGTTGTTATATATTTGCTGTAAATTTGCTGACATCAAAATAGGACACGTTACAAATACAGGTACATGACTGCTTATACATGCAATCAGTTGACGCAATTTTGAGAGCAAACTGTCTGCAATACTGGTACGTTATGTTGTCTGCAACATGTCAGCAACATGACAGCAATGTATGATTCGTCGTTTTATGCAAACATGATGGCAACAACACATATATATTGATTTCCATCCGTTATTGCGTATATGTCTTCAAGCTATAAAGTTTTTTAATTGTAAGTCGTTGCTAACATAGTGTTGACAATATGAAATTGTCATACATTTCTAAAGAATGTGCAAATGTCGAATCCGATAGATGGCATCCGTTAGGATCTGTTTTTTGTATTTAAAATATGAAGAACGATAGTATATACGAACGATATATAAATGACGGAACTGCACAACTTGTATCAGTTGTATCGTGGAGTCCACTTTTATAATAAAGTGTGGCACACCTTTAGATTGATGTAACCTTATATTAATGGTACCTTTATTTTTGAAGACTGATAATAAT